ACAAAAAAAAAAAAAAAAAAAAAAAAAAAAAAAAAAAAAAAAAATCAGAATTAGACTAGTCGGTGAGATTCGACTGAAACCGTCGCGGAGAGTCACGTTGTAGATATGAGAATGGGGGAAACGGGCCGACGCATTTACCCTTAACTTTTCTGTCATGTTTTTTTTCTGCCGCAAAATATCGTCTTGCGGGTCACAAATGGCTCGCGGGCCGCGAGTTTGAGACCCCTATATTAGATTTTTATTTATTAATATTCACAATTATCTCATTTTTTATAAAAATAATGTAAATATTTTTACTTTCCCACATCATTTTCGATGTACAGAATGTATGCGGGAACGAATTTCAAAATATCTTAATTTTTCGGTTTCGGCCGAAATTCATTTTTAACTTTCGGCCTAAATCAGAAAATCACTTTCGGTCGGTCTCTAAACTACAACATATCAAATTTTGCCTTTCCATCTTCAATACGTAACGTACTTCCGTACAACAAAAGAAAATATTACACACCAAACGTACTTGCGGTATTTTTAAGAGTCTCATTTAGCGCAGCTATCGGGGAGTTTATTTTGTGCGCTGTTGACCTCACCATCAGGCCTAGGCATCATACTTTATTTCATGCTTGGATAATTATGATAATGATTATTAAATTATTATAAATAATGATATGCTATTGGTAACTTAAGTAACTAATTAAGGCATGTCACTCAGTACTTGCATATTAATGATCATGCCCTACATTTTGACACAATAGCATTTATTTTGCATGAAACAAAACTAAATAAATCAAATATTATCTTTTAACCCGAAATGAACCATTCATTCGTTTAAAACTCGGATACTTAACTAAACTAAAAATAGAAATCCTTGTGTAAGCATATTCTTATTTATCACATGACTTGAGTCTACAGCCAAAAAAATCACCATAAATATTAAAAGTAATAAATAAAGGTTAGTAATTTAGTAGTATAGGCCTACTCTTGGCCCCATAACTATAACCTATAGATTATAGAAAGATAAAGATATCTCAATTGTTTTATGTTTTTTTTTAAACATCCTGTAATTGTAGAACATGCACACTAATATTTGAAATTTAATTTAAGTAAATTTAATAAGTAACAACGAAAAATAATGAATAAGTTATACATATAATCTATATATATATATATAATAGCTTGGTAGTTAGCATAGATAGAAGGCCATCTTAAACTTAAATTAGTAGAAGGCTATAAGGAGAATGAAAATGTGATTATTGGTCAGCAGGCATAAATTACTTTTTTTTAATTCCTAGTCCACCTTTAAAATTTAAAATTAAACTACTACTTTCCTGTCTGAGTGAGTCACTGTCTGTATTGTTCTATAATATAATATAAATTAATTATAAACGGACGAACAGCAACTAAAAAATAATATAAAAAATAATGTTATTTAATTAATTTTTAAAAAAAAATATATAACTAGTCGGCTTAAGTCTAAGTACTGAAACCTAAGTCCATAGCAAGTAGTAAGTAGTAGTAGATGTAGAAGTAGAGTAGTAGGTGTAGTGTTCTCATAGTCTTACTTATCATAGTAGATTTATGCCTATGTACTGTAACTATGTATACTGTATAGGCCTACATTTAAAATTTAATATTTATGAGCCTATTTAATTAACTACTTTCTGATTATAAAACTAATAAATTTTATTATTTTTATTATATAGCTTAGGCCTAAACTCGTATAATTATAAATAATAAATTATAAAGTATATTAGTATTAGTCTTTTAGTAAAGTATCCCAGTAATAGTCAGTAATACAGTAATAGTCATACTAATTTCTAAAAATTAAAATAATATAATATTTATTAAGTATTAAACATATTTTATAATGCGTGTTATTTTATATTATACTGTATCAGTGTATGTTCATGCATCATCATCCGTTATATTTTATTGATATATTTAAATACCATATTATTATGGAATATTTAATTCTAAGTCTATTAAGTCTATTAATCATGAATATTAATTATTTTACAAATGAGTCAAATGATAACCAAATTCAATGCTCTCGTCGTTTAGGCTTAGTTAAAGCTAAAAAATAAAATTATTAATTTAAAAAATCAATCACTTCTTAATAAACTTAAAAGTTGAAATACTTATTTAGTGTTAATAGTTCGTATTACATTTATTACATTAGCTTGGTCGCTTCTGATTGATTTTTGTTATCAACTTTACTTTGTTATGGCATGGCATGGCTATTTTAATGCTTGATCGAACTCGATCAATACTTTCATACAAGTTCTGATGACGGACGCCATATACTTCTATTGTCATCTTATGCGTTTACTAGATTTCGGCAAACTTTAAGTAAGGAGCGTAATTAATTTATTAATGTAGCCATGTAGCCTAATATTATTAATATTAATATTTACTACTAATAATAACTAATAATAATACTAATATAAGTCCAATAATAAGCCTTGGTAAGCCTTATTTAATAAGTAGTTACGTAAATACTCGGCTAATATTAAGGACGGCTGCCACGGCGTCTTTTGTGTGTTTATTATAGTATAGTTGCTTAAGGGATCGATTTAGGGTTCAGGTTAGGCATAGTGGCATAGGGATCGATTTAGGGTTCAGGTTAGGCATAGGGATCGATTTAGGGTTCAGGTTAGGCATAGGGATCGATTTAGGGTTCAGGTTAGGCATAGGGATCGATTTAGGGTTCAGGTTAGGCATAGGGATCGATGACTTCACGTGACGTGTCAACCAAGAAGGGCGGCCACTGATAAAATATTGGCATTTTCAGTGACCATTTACCCAAATTACGATAAATACATCTCACTCAATACTCAATTCAATACAAATGGAAATGTAATTTAAATATTTTTTAGAAGCCTATAACTATATATCTAAACTAGTAGTAGGTTAATTTAATCGAGTTTATAGAGGTCCGTTATTTTAGTAAGTATAGTAATTAATTATAATTGACAGTAGTAAGAATATTGACAGTACTAATTTTAATTATTAGGGCCTGCCTACTAATTATTCAACTCTAGCTACCTTAGCCGCCTTATGGCCTAATCAGATCACAGTTAAATCAGTCTAATCATTAATCACTTAACTTGAATCTGAGTAATCATCATTCATACCTAATGATGACTAAGGTGACTTATACTAATCACTTTACTACACAAAAAATCAAACAAACACAACTAACAACTCAACTCACCCAACTGTTTAATCAATTTTTTATTAATAATTAACTTTAAGTAAAAATTATAATATTTAAAACAAAAATTATAATAATAATAGGTAAAATATTGTTTTAGCCAATTTACTTTTACCCACAAATGTCCACTATCCTTTCAGTGAACTAATTATTCAACAGTAATTTTCAAGATGGAAAGTAAATATTTAGTAGGAAAGCTACAAGGCTACGTCATCCCAAAAAAGTATATAAAATACACATATTTTGCGTGAAAAATGCAGTTTTGGAACCCTCGCAAGTTAAGCTAGCACGGCGTGTTTCCCTTTGCACCCGGGTTTGCCTTCTAATAAACTTTGAAAGGCAACCTGGTAATGGGTTAGGGGATATGAAAATTTGACTTTTTAAAGGTACTAGTTTCTAGATTTCGGATATTGAACAAAGACATATTTGTGACAAAGGTTTAAATATTAATTAATCAATTTCTTTAGCATTGTTTTGGACCTATTGAGCAATAAAGCACCTGTTGCTGTCTCATTTAAAGTTATTTTACTAAGTCTTTTTCCTTTATATTACTGATACATTCAAATTTTATAACAATAGGAGCACAGAATTTTTTTCTACAAGTAGAACATATCATTGTCAGAAGAACTCAATGATGTTATGATATAAGTTCACCAATTTTTATTAAATACAAACATTTGCATTACCAAGTGCAAATATTGTAGCACATAGATAGTAAATATGAAAATTATGTGGAACACTCATGTTAAAAATTTCTTTTAAAAATACAATTTCTACAATTTAAAACTACCTTTTACAAACTTTTTTTAGAGAAGTGTTCTGTGTTGACCATATAACAAGAAATATAAATTTATAAGAGATGGAAGGGGATACAATTGTGCATGTCAACATTAAAGACCCAAGCCAAAGGCGGAGCAACAAAATCGGAGATGCTAATGCAGATGAAGTAGAGATGGTGAGTATGATCTCTTGATTAAATGGAAAAAGACTAAATATAGCAACATTTTATTAGAAGGGTCTTATTAACCTAACATAAAAATATGAAATAAATAGTTTTTAAAATATTGAAATAAAAAAAAAAATAGTTACTTATGATCTCTAATCAATCATTTTACTATATTTTCATGCAAACGTTTAAAAAAAAAGTCCCTTATAAAGCAGTATTTTTAAAATTGCATGTGTATATGTTTATTTGAACATAAATTATTTTATGCTGTGAAATGTAATGGGCTTAACATATTCACACAGTTTATCTACTTCCTTAGCATTTACTCAGTCCTGTTATTTGTGATCTCAACTATAAAAATCACTCGGCAAACTCAGTTGAAGATCTACTTGGCAAGGCACCGAAAAGACATTGTCGTATGGAGAGTTACCCTTCCCAAGCTTCAGTGAGATTAACAGAGGTTTTCCCAATAGACGAAAGAATACACAGTAAGGCTTTCAGCTTTCAAATATTTAATTGACTTAATTCCCATTTTCATTAGCAGTTATATATGATTTATTGCCAGATATTATAATAGACTCTATTTCATAACTTGCTAGACACAAGTTCAAGCTGGAGAATGCCTTTGAATGTATTTACCTCAAAGAAATCTAAAGAACTTGGTTTGCAAGCCCAAAAGCTACCGAAAGGCATCAAGTATGTATACATTTAAAAATAATATTTCAACACATTCTGATTTGTTTAACAAAAGAAAAATTACCAATGTTTCTTTACCGAAATCAGTTTTTCCTACTGTCCTACTATTTAATTTACACTTTAAATATTTCAAGGTTTTATAACTATATTAAGCTAAATATATATATATAGCTGGAAACAATAGAAAACATGAAAGATACTGAATTTATCTTAACCATTTCATAAATGCAACTATTATTAAAAGTGATAAGTAATTAAGTGATTATATTCTCATTTTGGATTTTTAAAATCTTAATGATGGATACTGAATAAAGTTATCTTTCTTATTGATTGCAGATCATTTTATGAGCGCCAGGATGAGCTTATTGCAGCATATGAGAGCATGGCTACTGATTCCAGGCTGGATGTACTGGCCAGAAACATCAAAGAACCTGGCAAGATTGTCACCAGACTGTCTCAGATTTCATTTCTTGTTAACTTAGTGGGTGAAATTTAATTTAATCAGTCCACAGTTAAGCATCTTGTCCTCCCCAATACTATGGAAAATAGTTTAAATGGAAACCTTCTAACTGAATTTTTATATACCAGTATTTTAAAGTGTTTCTTTTTTTTTTTTTTTAGAAATCTGATTCTAGAGTGTTGTAACTTCTTTAATTTATATGTTTCAGCAAAAAGGTCATCTTATTTTACTATTATTTTATTTGTTTTTTTTTTTTACAGTATTTTTAAGTGTTTTTTTTTTTTTTTTTTTTTTTAGAAATCTGATTCTAGAGTGTTGTAACTTCTGTAAATGATATGTTTCAGCAAAAAGGTCATCTTATTTTACTATTTGCATCATCTTTAAAATATATTGTTTCTGGTTTAACTCTCTGACATTAAAGCCTTAGAGACCTCCAACATATATTATTTTGTTTTTTCCTTTCTCAAATTTTATGAAGAACCAAAAATGGAAAAATTATATTTTATATTCTGTTAACCAACATTGGATTCAACCTTGAAACAGACACCATGTGTATGGTGGGTTAACTTATCTTTCATTAGCATATAAAATAAAATATCTTTGAGACCTTGTCTATTATGTTTTGATACGGGTAACACAATTCTTCTTAATCCATAGATGCTCATGATCGCCAAAGCTGTGGCTGTTGGGATGTCCAACTCCATGTCTATTATCTCCAGCCTTGTGGACTCTGTTGTGGACCTGATGTCTGGCATAATTATTTGGTGGACAACAAATGCCATAAAGAAAAGTAGCATTTATGTGTACCCGGTTGGTGAGTGTGCATTCATATCTAAAAGTGAAAATGAAAACTGTTTGCATAACTGAGGATGAATGTTTTTATATTATTCTACTTAAAAGATATTTCCTGAAAAATGAACGTCCCAAAGATAATTTAGAAGTTTCTTGCTGTGTATTTAAATTTTTTATGATGATAATTTCTAAAGTTTTTAAAAACTTGATAAACATTACAAATATATTTTATCCACAGGCAGATCTCGCCTTGAGCCTGTTGCCATCATTATTCTATCAGTCATCATGTCACTGGCCTCCTTGGAGGTGCTGATTTCTGCTGTCAGGAAAATGGTTGGATTTGCTAGCAGCCTGGAGGGTATTGCTAACTTTGAACTGCCAACTGTGATCATCGCAGCCAGTACCGTCGGTGAGCAGTGAAAAAAATATTTTGATTGCATGATGGTAATAGGTGGGAGAGACTACAATAGGCTAGGTGAAAGGAAATGAGCAACAAAAAAAAAGAAAAGAAAAATGACGATAGAAAACAACAGAGTCGCAAGAAGCCTTTTGGAGCGAATAAACAACAGTAAAACCAATATGTAATTAAAATAAACATTTAGCTCCTATGCTTTATCCGAGAGATAAATCCTCAGTAATGTATGTTGCAAGAGACTCTGTGTTTTTTAAAAAAGATGTAAATGTGTTAAATAATTTCTCCTATACAGTTGCAAAATTTGTTTTGGCCCTGTCATTTTACCTCATCATGAAAAAGAAGAAGCTGCAGTCGGGCCCAGTCGATGCTCTTATACAGGATCACCGCAATGACACTTTATCAAACCTGGTTGCCATTGCTTGTGGATATTTTGGTAAGTTTAGTAGATCATTTCAACCTGAGTTCCCAAGTGAACTAGATGTTTGGGAGAAACTGGCTAAATTTATAAATCATGCTTATCAATAGCTGATTTTTCTTTTAAATTTCACCCGTTTCCATTTTTTTTCTGTCCATGAGATTTGTCTCTTTTCTTTCCCCCATCTTAGCTAACGCCATTAAACATGTTTTATTTTGAACTAATTTTTTTTTTTTTTTTTTTTTTTTAAGACGAAGGTTAAAAACTGATACGGATTGATTTCTGAATCCTGGGTGTGCTTGAAAAACCCCTTTTAATACTTTTTCTCTTCTGGCACTATTGTCTAAGGCCTTACATTTTTTTTCTGTCCATGAGATTTGTCTCTTTTCTTTCCCCCATTTTTGCTTGCGCCATTAAACATGGTTTATTTTGGACTAATTTTTTTTTTTTTTTCTTTCTTTAAGACGAAGGTTAAAAACTGATACGGATTGATTTCTGAATCCTGGGTGTGCTTGAAAAACCCCTTTTAATACTTTCTCTCTTCTGGCACTATTGTCTAAGGCCTTCAATAACCATCACCACAACACTCTCCTTGCATGAGTTATGCCAATATTTGTGCACAATAGATAAAGCAACACTTTAATAAAAACACCAGTTCTTTAATAAGTCCATTGCTCAACAGCGTCTAATCAATACAACATCACTGCTCACTTTATAACTTAAAGGACTAAACATACTCTGACTACTAACACTAAACGTGAACACCTGGGCTGCTACAAAAACTAAACGTGAACTCTGGGGAACCAACCATCGTCTCGCACACGCACCTCATATTCTCACAAACCTGTTTATTGTCCCTTCAACTCTCGACCAGTGACAGTTGGACATAAAATCAAAACTGAGATGGTGAAGTAATGCTGACAACAAAAGCACTAAAAAAATGCTGATTCTCATCACTCGACGGATTTGTGCAGTTAAAGTTGTCCTACAAACCTTTACATTTTACCTACTTTTTATGCCAACGGGCTCTAGTTGACAAGTCTGTAGTGGCTTGTCGACTAGAGAGGCACTGCCACCGATCCCCAGGCGTCCCCTGGGGAAGAAAAGGGCAGACAAAGGCCATGCATATTAACTGCCTAAAATGGAAGCACCTAAAGGGCTACTGACTATGGAGGTCTACAGTCGGAAATAAAGGCAGAAACAGGGTAGGGATCATAATTACAAGTTGCAGCTAATGGATATGAGGAAAGTGGTGAAGGTGCAAATCCCTAGCCGATGTTTATATGTATACAGCTATTGAGGAAACTGTTCCTATGCAACCTGTACGTCCCAGCTGCTTCTTGAATTAGTTGCGAGGTAGAAACCCACTGTAGAAACCCTCTTAAAGGGCGTCCGATGCTTCCCCGGGATGGGAGGGGGGAAGATATTAAGATATAAATGTACCATCCTGATCCCTCTAGGAAAGTCACCTGCTGACGCTTTAAACACGGCGTCAATGGCCAACCAGATGTCCTTGGGCTGGGGTGGCCCCCTTTGGTAAACCTAAACCCGATTGAGGGGATGCGGGCGGGAGCTGTCCTGACAAAGGGAGATCCCTAAAGTGCCGCTTTGCAATCCGGTATTAGGGCTTGGGGCGTGCTTTGGGGAAGGTATGAAGAGCTTGATACGCTCGATGGCTCCACTGACGTGATTTCCTAATGTATCATCTACTGTTTATAAATTTACTTAATGATCAGAAGAGTCTCTATTATTGGTTAGTATTAGATGGTTTATGACCTGTATTACAGGTGTGATTAAAACTTGCTTCATATTTACCTCCATTTTTTTAATCACTATAATCCTTGTTTTTTAAACTTGTCTTCCAGGCTCCCAGCAATTTGCAGACAGAGTTCACACTAAGGAAGTTGCATACGTGGATCCGGCTGGGGCTATTCTAATTGGCCTCTACATCATTATCAGCTGGTGGAAAACAGGGATAGGTGAGTTGCAGTGGCTTTTGTACTACCCTGTACTCTGTATAATTATTTCCCAACTAGTCTTGATCTGAACCAACTGTGTTTGATTACTGAATTCTTTTGTTGACAGCTCAGTTAAAGATGATTACAGGATATACAGCAGATCCAAATTTCCTCAGTCAGATCACATGGATAGCTCTTAATCACAGGTAATCATTTTTGATGATGACTTTTTTCTATGGTTAACAATTTTTGTGTGGAATGCTTTGTTCTAGAAGTATTTTGAAGAAAAAAAAATCAATTGATATTTTTAGTTCCGTTCTGTCAATTTTGATATTTTTTTAGAAATAATCATTAAGATCTTTTGGGGTCAGAGCTAGGCACTCTTTACAGCCCCTGTCATTTCATCTACGATTAAATAAGCAGTTTCACCTGTGCAGTTAAAATAAATGCATAGAATTTGGAAGATAAGGCATGCATACTGATTATCAACAGTGGTCGACTTGCCCACCTCGGCTGCTCTGCTAGTGATATTTAGGCCGTCCGAGCCATGCTGCTTATATTTAGGTAACCTGGGGCGCTTCTGTGGGTGATATTTGGGCCTCCTCTGCACGTAATATTTGGGCTGCCTGGGCCAGTCCTGCAGAAAATATTTGGGCCACCTGGGCTACTTCTGCATTACAATAACACTTTCGGATTAAATCTCTATTTACAGTTTATGCTCAATAATAATATTAAGATATGAAATAGATAAAGTTCATGAACGACTTATGTGTTAAGTCAGGAGTCAGCAACCTTCTTTGAGTGAAGCACCATTTTATAAATTATATCAGGTAATAAAACATTTAGGGAGCCCCTTGTAGGTTGTATTGCAACTTGAATACTTTTTAAGGATTAAAAACAAAACAAGATAACAAAAAAAGAATGGGAAATGCAATCAATTAAGTGTGAATTGGAACCTGATTTGAATTGCAAACATATTCAATATCACTACACCAACCCCCCCCCCCCCCCCCCCCAAATGACTTTTAATTTCAAAGAAATCAAACATATGTTTACAATTGTTGATTGTTGCCTACACAATAAGAACCATTTACTCTGTGTTTGGTGTGATAAATCAATATATAACTCTAAAGCTAAATGTATTCTTTCTTAATATTTTTCCTAGATTTTCAATTTATCATTCATTTTATGACAGTCTCCAGTGACCTTGCTGAAAACAACACCACCACCCCACCATCCCAATGGAAAACAATAGGGCCGCTTTTGATTTTTGTTGCGGACAGCTTAGACACCAGTTCACCACTGGTTATCTCTGCATAATTTTATTAAGATGATTCAGCAAATTTAACTCATCACTTGCACTTCTCTGGTGCAAATATATTGGTTGGACAAGATAAGCACATAAAGTCTTACAGTGTGTTGGCTCACTTTTTTCTTTTTATGTTTATACATCAAAATATACAACTCATGCCTCCAACAGTCCTCAGATATTGAATATCGATACAGTCCGGGCATTTCACTTTGGCTCAAACTTTTTAGTGGAAGTGGATATTGTCCTTGACGAGGACACAAAGCTCTCAGATTCACATAACATTGGAGAAAGCTTGCAGGTAGGTTGTTGCCTCTGGGCTTATACTGCTTTAAAGTATGAAATTTTGGAGGTAATGGCTGCTCAACCAGCTGGATTACTTATTATCACTATGTTATTGGAAGAAATGGTGCGTTTCTAACAGATTACTCGAGGAATTCTTTTAATTCAAAACTACACAGCCACATATGTCAAGAAAGGATCAGATGAATGAATGGAAATTGCTTTCTATAAGATTTATTAAAAAAAGGCTTTTAGTGGGAAAAAAAAAAATAAAATTACATTGAAATGAAAATCTTCAAGTTAAAACGATGTCCTGAAAAGAAGTAACGGTAAAAGGGACAATTTGGAATGTGAGAAAAAGCTATTATTTACAGTGTTTATCTTAACATAGTGAAATAGAGTTCATTTTGTACTTTATGGCAGTATAAAATGCTAGTGTGACATTTGAAAGTGTAAGCAAATCATTATTGTTTATAATAAAAAGGTGAAATAAATGCCATTCTTGGAATTAATTGTTGGTCATGTCATATTAAAAACTCATGTCAGTATGGGTGACATTTATTTTCTTTAAATTTATAAAATTCTATTATTTTATTCATACCTTATTAAAAAATATATGTATTTTCAAATTTATAAAATTCTATTGTTTTCAGCAAAAATTGGAAAGGCTAGGTAATGTTGAAAGAGCATTTGTGCATGTTGACTACGAGGTGAGCCACCGGCCTCAAGAAGAACACTTAATCAGTTAATGTGGAGAAACTCAAATGAATTCAAGTTGTGTAGGCAACTGCCTACTCAAGCCTTCAATTTATTCCTGACAGTCAGAAAATCAAACTGATTAATAGAGAGAGAAAAAAAAGTGTATAGAAGTAATTTTATTAGTTTTTTTTTCTTTTTTTCTCAAAAACTTTTTAGAGGAAGGCGGATCTACACAATCTCAATTTTAAAAAAATTATTTTTAATACCAGAAAAGTAAATATCAATAGTACAACTGAACTATACAGAAACAGTTAATGCAACATCACTAACTATTTGTGACATGTGTTAATGTTGTAATTGGATTTTAATGCAAAGGGATCAGTGAGAAATCCTAATGTCTTTCAAATGCTAGGACAATAACGAGAACCATAAAATACAAATATCTTTCTTTTATTATTGTAGGGGACACATGTGATGCTGTAAGTCTATCTTTAATTGGTTTATCTCTATTCTTGGTTAAAAAAAAATAAAAAATTGTCTCCAAGAAATGTCTGCCAGCTAATGTGAAATCATCTTCAATTCTCTCCAACATAAATTCTATCAATTGTTGTTGTCTACATTTTCCTCTTTATTTTTATAAAGCAAAAATTTAACTTTATTGAAAGTTTTGGAATCATTAATAGTTTTTTTTTATTTCATCATTTTACAATGAGTATATTGTTTTTGGTTATTTTACAAAATAAAAGCTGTTAAAGGTGACCAGGGTAATAACCTCAAGCCTTCAGTTGAACAAAAGTCTTATTAACTTTGATATTATTATACCATTTTAACAAAAAAATTGTATTCATAAGAAACTTGCTGAAACATGTTTGATCAATATCCTAGCCTTTTGGCTAAAGTTTAAATTTGTAAAAACATCACTCCAGGAACTTATAATAATTTTTTTATTTTCCTGATATGTATAATTACGACTCTTTCATGACACATTCCTCATCGTCAAAAAGCCATTGGATTTTTTTATATACTCTTATTAATATAATAGTAACGTATATGAAATGTAAAATATTCCATGTTATTTTTTTATAAAGCTTTATTATCAACATAAAATTGTTGAAATAGTTTAAACACAATAAATATTCAAATAATTTTAATGTGCTTTCAAGAGTACTGTACTTTTGAAGGAAAAAAATGGATTTTGACCCAAAAAAAATTATTTTTTTGATACAGTTTTTGTATATACCTTGCAGATGTCTGTAAAAAATTATTTGCAGCTATACATGTTTTTTAAAACATTTATCTGCCTTTTGCTCTCATATATATTTGTTTCTATCCCTAAATGGCAATGATGCTTAATATTAAGCTATCTTTTCATAAATTACAGTATTTAATTTTTACCTTTTAGCCTGAAATGAAGATTACGAAATGCACTTAGCTCTATAATAATTGTATCATTTACATAATGATTTTTAACTTCAGATATAACTGAATCCATCACATAAGGATTTTTAACTTAAGATATTTTAGTTTCATCCCAGCTGCTTAGTGACTTATTCACGAGGTAGAAAACCGCTTGTAGGAACTCTGTTAGAGGGTGTCTGATGCCACTCGGTGGTGGGAAGGGTTTTTTTTTTTTTTTTAACAATAAATTACATCCATCCCATTTCATAGAAAGTTCTATCAGGAAAAAAGGAGTATGTCGGAGAAGACCTAATGAGCCTTGGCTTGGTGATCTGCTGTTTTTTTTAAAAGATATTAGATTAGTAAGTGATATTGGTAAAATTTTAATGAATTATCTGTCTTATAAACTTCAATTTCCTAATGCCAAGGTTAATTCTATGATTGATTGATTAGAGATACTCAGTGATTTCTGCTTTTAAAAATTATTTCGCCCTAATTAAATTTTTATTATAAAAAAAAAATAGGTAGTTTCTCTGTACATGATACTGATTACTATTTCCATCTACAAAGAAATAAACATATCACATTGTTTGAACACCTTTTTAATTTGCAGTCTCTGTTGATATTGAATATTGTCTACTTAAAAAGCAGAGCATCATATTAAAAAAAAAACAATAAAGCTGTTATGATCTTAATTATAAAAATTTCATATAATGTTTTTAGATTATTTTTTTCATGACATATTTTTTTAAGCATTTTTAAAAAAAAATTATGGGAAAAAAAAAACTATAATTCATGAAGACCAGAGCAAATGAAATTACAATTTTTTATGGTATTAAAAAAAATCTGTTTTTAAACAAATATTAAATATGTATTATAAATAGTATTAAATCCTGCTGTTACAATAAAAATTTTTAATGATTTAAAATTTAAAATAGTTGTGATTAGGTTAACATCAAATAAATGTGAAAAAAGTGCAATCAGCTCTGCATTTATGTATTGTCCACAAAACTTAGTTATTTGACTTCACCTTGCATGAAGTCCATTATTTTTTCACAGTTTGTCTTTTTGCTGTACTTTATGATACATTTTACATGAAAATAGTGCTTTGATTCATTGCTAAAAGAGTTGTCCCAAATTTATAATATCCAGATGATGAAAAAAATCATTTAAAAAGATCCTCATAAATAATATGGGCATATGTTGAAATGATCTATATTTTATGCCATTCTATTTTTGATACTCTACAAATATTTATAATTTTAAGATCTTTTACTGAATTACTAAAATGTTCCACATTATTCTAAATTATACCTTTACTTGTATTATTGCTTTCGAATCTCAAATGGATGTCAAATTGAATAATCCAACTCAAAACCTAATATTATTGTTGAATCTCCTATCTGAACTCAACTAAGCAATTTTGTTTCTTTCAATTTCGTTTTGTTCAATTTCCATTCTTAAAATTTCTAATGCAGATGATATCCTCACTTTATTGAACAAAGTTTTATGTATTTTTTTTTTTAAATTCTATAATTTTTTGCTCATTACCATTGTATTTAGTAAATAAATTAAACTCAAGTTAAGCAGGTTACTATTAATAGCTTTATTATTATTACTCTCATTTAGACTAACATGTACAGTGATATATATTTTTTTAAATTTTCATTTGCACAAGCTTTAATTTTTAAAGCAATCCCTAAAAAAACAAAACAGTTATTTTATAGCTTTATAATTATTACTCTCATTTAGACTTAGATGCACTGTGATATATATTTTTTAAAATTTTCATTTGCACAAGCTTTAATTTTTAAAGCAATCCCTAAAAAAACAAAACAGTTATTATACATCTTTTGTTGTTTCTTTTTCATTCTTTTATATTTGTATTAATATAATTTGTTCTTGGTTGTTGCTTTTAAAAAATTATTCTACATAGAGGAATATAAGATTGTGGTCCTAATAATCTTTTAAGACTAGGATGTCACTAGAAAACTACTTTTATTAAAAGACTTCTTGGGGTTTTCCCATCAACTTAATTACACAGTGTGCAGTTAAACATTACAACACTAAATTTAGAACAGATAAAAAAAAATTATTTCATTGTGGCTTATCAAGAGAAGATTTTGCAATGTAAATCTTTAAAAATTTGGAGAAGAAATGTTGACTTTTCCCCGTGATTTAATGACTTTTACTAAGAAGTAACTGTTATGTGTACAATGGTTTTTTTTCTTGCTTATTCAGTTTTATCTTCTTACCATACAAAGGTTAAATGCCATCACTTCTTCTTTTAACAATGACTTATTTCAATTGAAAACTTGCTTTGGCAAAGAAATGAGGATGAGGGATTCAAATGTAAAAAAAAATGTGAATATTCAATTAATTAAAGTATGATTTTCTTAGCGTCCCTTAAAAATATGAAGTATATTTCTTTAACTAAGACTAAGAAATACATCTTTACAGATTTTCCCTTTAGACACAGATTTGTATTTTTGTATTATATTTTTTAGATTCAATATTAAAAAGTGATCAGTTTTAATTTTTGTACCTCATTTTCGGGGGCTCATTTCTGATTTTAGATAACATACAACAATCCTCCTGCTTGTGTCTTAACTAAACAACTTTTCTAGAGTTAGCTTGAACAAAATGCAAAGTTGTATTTCAAATTTATCTATTTTTTATGAATATGTAAAAAATTGCTGCTGGGGAAACTACCACAAATAATACACAGGACAATTTCTTTAGCCAGCAGAATTAGCCTACTATGAGATCTAATAATTGGATTTGCTAGCAGCCTGGAGGATATTGCTAACTTTGAACTGCCACCTGCGAACGTCATAGCTAGTAAAAGAAAAAAAATTTTTTTACTGAAATTTTAACTATATAATTATAATGCAACTGTGGTAGTAGTCACCAGATGTGATATATGTGTAGGGGAGGAGTGATAAAATAGTGTATGAAAAGTATTAATTTGATTGAGTAATGGACTGGGCAATTTTAAACTTGATTTTTTTACAGTGCTCCTCTATTGAACTTATCATGTCTTCATTTCTTGATAAAAAAAAATTTCAATATGCTAGACCTGAAAATTGCAATTTATTTTAATATATGTTTATATCTGCTCAAATTATAACATTTGTGAAATACATCACCCTTTCCTCACCCACCTTTGCTCTTATTTTTCTTTGTTAGGTGTTGCTATTTTAGAGTGAAGTTATTGACAAATCTGTGCTGCCCATTGCCCTATTTTTCTCATATTTGTGTTACTATTTGAGGATAATTTACTGTGTGACTAGCAAAAAAGGTTTGCTCTTATTATTTTTACAAGGGTCAATATGTGGATCTCTCTGTCTTCATTCTGAAAACTTAATTTTTTAAAAATAATCCCTGGTCCTTAAATTTTCTCATTATTGTAACCGTTACTTAGGGAAAATCAATTACCTTAAAGGTAATATTAATAAAAATAGACCTAAAATACTTTTAGTTGTAAATTACTATGCAGCATTCCCTCTTCTATTATGAGGGTTATGCTTTAAATGCCCCCCCCCCAAACCACCAAGTTATAAATCTTTCCCACACTGTTATTAAACTTTCCCTCACTCTTATTAACACTTCCTATGCTCTTAAACACTTTCCGCACTGTTAAACCTGCGTAATTATAACAATGTATAAAATTCTTCGTAGGTACTCACAGGTACAAATTAAATATGTACAAGTAAAAAAAGCTGCGATACAATGACACCATTAAAAAAAGGACCCTCATTATGGCGAAGGACAATTGTACAATAATATTAATTGTCTAAAAAATAATTTAGTCATTACAAAAAAAATTTAAATCAATATTTTTTTTTTACTTCTCTCCACCCCTGACATCTTCAGTTGCCTTCAACTGCTTGAAATTAATAAAAAGTTAATAATTTCCTTTAAAAGTACTAGATTAGAATCATTCAAACTATTCGCCTGTCTAGAAATGCATGTTTAGCTTTGTGCGCCTCTTCTAATCTTCAGTTTCTTGTTAAATGTTTAAATTTTTAGACAGTATAGATAGTCAAACTTAATATCATGGGTACTTTATTTGAGTTACATTATTATTTAGAAGTACGAAACAGTTTCTCTTTCTCCCCCCCCCCCCCCCCCTTAAAAAAAATTAAGTTCACGAGTCATTCCTATCTCTCTTGGAGAGAAACACCAAACTTTCAAATTTTATGTTGCAATATTTATGCAGGACAAAACATTTTAGAGAAATTTGTAACCATTTCTGTATATACTTCCTTTCTAATTGTTTAATTATAACAGTGTGTAGATTAGTGCCTCTATTTTAGTCTGAAATAAGAGAATGCATGGAACTGAGTTTGAAAAAACCACCATGGTTGATTTTGAGTATGGTGAAAGTTTAAATTAATATTTTTCTTTAAATAGGTAAAATAGTGTTCACTTAAAAAAAGTTTTAGAAGCACAAATAGAAATTTTTAGACCAGTATTTACTCATTCTTCTGGTAGTATGATGCTATCGAATTATAATTAATGAATATTGTTGTGGTTCAAAACTAACAGTGCACTGAATTAAAATCTATACACATGTCTTTTTGTAGATAGATCTTAAATAATAAGTTAAGATATTTAAAAAATGTATTGAATAGAGAATAAATTTGTGAAATTCCAGTATTCATTGTTGTTTTTTAAATTTGTTTTATAGTTTGTTTATGTAATTTATATGTATTATATAAACAATAATTTTTAGTTCGATTTTGGAAGAAAAAAAACACTGAGAAATTTTAAGGAGTGTAATCACAGATCTTAGAAATCTCATTTTCATATTTTTTTGTAAAGGTTACATTATAATTATGATCACTTCGATACTATAAATATTTAAACGAAATAATTATAAAATAATGTAGAAATAAAAGTTAAAAGAAAGGGAAGCCACTCAGAAAAACTTCAGGTGTTAAGTTATGTTTGTAAGCAAAGACCAGAGCCAGATTATTTATTTATTTTAGGAAGTGAGATATTATACATCGAATGTCTCAGTTTACATTCTTTTAGACAATCCTGAAGTTTAGCGTCCTCAATCATTTCTCATTTGATTCTTAAGGTAAAAGTGCAGTTCATGTGCGTATGTTATTTAAAGAATTTCGTATTTTCCCATGTAGATACTTTGATAACAAAATTGAAACTTAAAAAAAAAAATAAACCAATGGCCAATGGCATAGTTGAATAGAGCTAACTTTTTAAAGAATTATAACACCAAAATCATATTTTTAGCTGTTGTAGTTTTAAAGTTATGAATTTTTAAAGTACGACTTAATTTGTCCTATTTTAACATGATGGACCAATGGACCGCATCTCCATTTTCTGAGACCCAATCAATTCCACTGTTGGCATCACGAGCTATATAACTCTTGTTTTAATGATAATTTTATTTTCAGAACTAATGCTGTATTACAAAAATTTGTTTAATAATGTTAACAATTGCAGATAAATTGTAGCTTAATTTATATCAATAAATTTAATATAATGTATTAATATATGGCTTTTCTGTTAACCAAATCTTTGACGTCCATTATATCGATATTTGCTATATAGTCTATATAAGGCAACTCATGCCCTAATTACGAAAATACTATTTGGGAACTATTGAACTTTCAACTTTGGTACATGACTAATTAATTAAAGCTTTCCCTGATGTCCTAGTTATGCAAGACACTGCGAATGGCCGCCATGACATTTTGCACACGCCGAATTTTGATCATTTATAATATGGACTCTGCCGGGTTTTTTAACCTCAAATTAAAATATTATTCTTTCAATAAAATTTAAATTCATTCTAAAAACATGAGTTATCAAATATTTTGATGTAAATAGTGGAAATAATTAAATATTTCCTACGTAATGCCGTCTTCCGCCACTGAAAGGGGGGCGTGGCCACTTCCTTATCGAAATTGGGCTGAGCTACATTACCATATAGGGGTTCACTTAAGTGAGCATAACAAGTGACCGACATGTCAGAACTCAATGAGAATTGACACAAATACATATCGATAGCTAATACAGAATAAGACTTTTTTTTAAGACATAAAAGTTGAACTTCTATAAGGATTTTATAGTGAAAGATGCCTTATATTTAAAGGGGAATCTCAAAATACAGGTCGATTGAAAAATTAAAACAAATCAATATAAATGTAGGCCAAGATGTCTACCTAAATATAAGGCCGGAACTCAAATATATGTTGAAAGGACTCACTTAACCCATTCGCTACTATTGCGACCAAATGCGACATACCCGCCTCGCTACTAATGCGACCAAATGCGCCATGACGTCTAGCAACGTACACATAACATCGCGAGAAGCATTGTTGCCTTTTGAATAGCTTTGGGAATTTAAGGAAGTGAGAATAGAGCTGCTTCCGTTTAAAAAAAAACTGGATGTTTCTACCATTTTAGGTTTGAAAGCTGCGTGGTGTTAAAGTTGGTCTAAGCTTAGCGAATTTGTGACTCTGTTTTTACGTGAATTATTTTGCAATGGCTTTTCAATTTCTTGACTCTTTGATTGCTGCCTCCACTTCTAATTATCAGATATATAATAATTCTGACAATGTGGATGAATCAGACATTGATATTGATCCAAACGCATTGAATTTAGATTCAGAATCAGAAAATAACACCGATGACGATGAAAGTGACGTTGATGATAGCGACCCAGACACTGTCACTGAGTCTTGGTCAGACAATTTGACCAGTGTAACTGATAAGATGGAGATATTTCATGAGATAGAAGGTGGCATCCATAACCTTCCTATTGAAAGCAGTCCAATTGACTATTTCAAACTGTTTTGACTGATACCATGGTGGAAATTATTGTAGTGGAAACCAACAGATATGCTGAGCAACAGCAGACTACTAAGGGCCGAAAAGACACTCAGTGGAAGGCCATCACTAATGAGGACATTTATAAATTTTTATACATAAACATTATGTTTGGGCTCCATAAATTGCCCACTACTAAATTGTACTGGTCCAGTGACAAACTATGGAGGGTCCCTGCAGTTGCAGATGTTATGGGGCGCACCAGATATGAAAAAATAAGTCAATATTTTCATATCACTAACAGCGAACACACTCCTGCCAAAAATAGTGTCAACTATGATCCCCTGTTCAAAGTGAGACCACTACCTGACCATATTAGGAGTGTGTGCCAAACAGCGTATAAACCACAATGACAGCTGTCAGTGGATGAGGCAATGGTTGGATTTCGTGGCCGATTATCCTTCAAACAATACTTGAGCAACAAGCCAACTCCATGGGGCATCAAAATTTGGTGCTGCGCAGAAGCCAAAACCGGTTATATTCTTAACTTCCAAGTCTATACCGGCAAAAATAACAATCCATCAGAGCATGGACTCGGATATAATGTTGTCATGAACATGATGGAACCATACCTGGATAGGTACCATGAAGTTTTTTTTGACAACTTCTTTTCCTCCCCCAAACTCGCAGAGGACCTCCTACATCGGAAGACGTACAGCTGTGCAACCATTAGACCTAACAGAAAAGGCTGGCCACCACCCAAATCAAAACAGAAGAGGGGTAGTGTCAAAATTAAACAGAAGGGTCTAATGGTTCCCACACAATGGACTGACAAACGGCAAGTCAACATACTTTCAACAAATTCTGACCCGGTGGTTACCACAGTGCAACGCAGGTCGAAACATGGAATTGTGGACACAGAGATCCCAATGCCTGTTGTTAACTACAACTCTGGTATGTTTGGTGTTGACTTGTCGGACCAGCATCATGCCTACTATCTTGTGGGCAGAGCATCCACGAAGTGGTGGAGGTAACTCTTTTGGTACATCATAGACCTCTCAATGGTCAACAGCTTTCTCTTGATGAAAAGCGCCAAACCAACAGATGCCGCAGACTCTCCTGCCAAAAATCATCTGCTATTTTGAAAAGCTGTTTTGGACCAACTTTTGACTGGAGCTACACAATGCAGGCAACCTGACACACCAGCACATGTTAAGCCCAATGCCTAGCCGAAAACGAAGGTGCTACCACTGCTCTGTTAATGGCAACAAGATGGACAGCGGTAGAACCAGAGAGAAGACAACAGGCTGTCATTTATGCCAGGTCCACCTACATAAGGGCTACTGCTTTTCAAAGTTCCACAAAACACTTAAACAATAATAAATGACAAACAATGGGGGTCAACGCTAAGAAAAAGCTGTGTAAATTTGAAAACTTATTTTTCCAGAATTTATTTAAAATATATTTGTCAATTAAAGTATACAAACATATACATTTTTAAAAATGTATATGCAATTTTCTATTTTTAAATGTATGTCTTATCATTTTACGTTGATGTTTACTTGTTTAAAACCATTTTTATTTAACATGGGGGTGCATGTTTTTGAGAGTGATCTCCCCTTGCTTAATATTTCAGGGTGGGTTTTGGTGTTAGTGGTTAGTAGCGAATGGGTTAATAATAAATAGACACACACATCAGAAAATTAAAAACTCTGATTTTTCGGCGCCGATTGCCATTTCCGATACACAAAAAGTAGTAGCCTCCCTTGGTTTACCGAAGTACCTATCCCATGTAAACTGATCAAATGTCAATCATCTTCAATCTTTACCATCATTATCATGAATGTCAAACGACTTTTCAATGTTTATTCCAAGCAGTCAGTTGAGTCAGTAATACTCAACAGTTAACTAACAATAAATGGCACAGCGTTTACTTTTATTTGATTTTTAAAGCATCTTTGAGCAGACTCTGGGTGTACAGTACATTGCCCATGATTGCCGTGAATGAATGAGCTCTCTAGTCTCTACTATAACTCTATACTATATGTTTATTTTTGTAAATTTGGAGAGATATCACCGTGGTCGCCATCTTGATTGCCAAGACACGCAAACTTATGTCCTAAACCTAACCTGAACCCTAAATCTAAACTTAACGTGAACCCTAAATTTATCCCTAACCTGGGGTTTGACCCTAAAGGAACCAGGGTTTTGACCCTGAAAGAACCATGGTTTTGACCCTATTGGAACCAGGGACAAACATGCAAATGACATCAGGGTGCTATCTCATCAAATTAGCTGTTTTTTCTATTCACCCTAAAAAAATCAAATTATTTTACAATATATCGCCTGCGTGACCTTAGACTTGGACTTAGTTTTAATATTTGGTTTTGATGTTTGGAGTGAGGTGAAAAGTCTCTATTCTGAGTAGTAACTGTCTAACTAAGATAAGAAAGGAAATTAGGTTATTTATATAAGTTATATTCTGTGCTCTGGCACCTTTTTTAGGCAGAATTTAACTTAATTAAAGTTGACTAAGTGTTAATTTTTTTAAATCAAACAAATTTGAGTTCCGACACCATTATTGTTATTCTTGAAAAGTTTTTTTCTAAAGAATCAACCTATTTCATAATTTGTAGATTTTTGGTTATTCAAATACCATCTTTTTGTACTGAAACTAAACAGCAATTTAAAAAATTCAACTCTAAAAAAATGCCAGTTATCTATTGTCATTTACAGCGACATTTCTTTGTCTATACAAAGACCTCATCCTGACAATAATCAATTAGCCATTACTTTATCTTAAATTCATGATTAAAATTCCCTGTAAAAACAAAATATTACTAACGGGCCCATTTTGTTAATCCTACTGACATTGAGTCTTAAAATCACCCCTAATGGAGAGATACAAATTTCATAATTAAATATGATCAAATAAATTCACTGGTTAGAGGCCTTTAATTTATTACGTTAAAAGAGGTTATACACCAAAATAATGTATAATATTAATCCTTTTGCGAAGATGTTGATTAATACTTCTTTTAATCTTTAAATTCTAGGAGGAAGTTTTAAAGATGAGGAACCTCTTGGCTCGTATGTCCTCACGCCATATCATTCTTCCAGCTTTAGCTGCTACTGGCTTCTTGTACATTCTTATCTATCTTCTATTTTCTACCCCTGCAAGCTACGTACATAAACATTCAAATCCAGCTGCCTTTGATTCTGATACAGGGGAATTTTTAGATGCCAAAACTTTGCTTCGAAAGAAGAGTTCAAAAGGGAGAGAGGTGAGCTCTATATCTAAATCTCGAATTTTGTGTTCAATCGTTCTTAAAACAGTATTTATTATTTCTAATCTTCTTTAAGATGCACATTTTTTTTTTTAAAAGGAATGATCCATATTCAAAGTATTATACGGACTACCAACTAGATTTTTTTTGGGAATATCTTTGTTAATTTTACAAATAGCTATGGTTAACTTTGAATAAGTGTGTTCTCATTGACAATTTGCTATTGACTCTGCTTGAAATTTTATCCCTCTAAATAATGTATTATAAATGTTTTTATTTGGAATTAATTATATAGATTTTGCATGTTAATGGTTCCCTATTAATGTTTTTGTATATTTAAACATTTAACTTTCATTTTCCAATCAAAGAAGGAGACACTCCTGCCTAAAAATGGACATGGCATCTGGGTTGAAGGCCGAGACATTGAGATCATGAGTGCCATTCATGATCTTCATCATCAGAATACATCTGAGACGCGAATCGTCTTACCTTCATTCTTGCGACATTCATCAAATAGAAATTTCTTGTGCTGTTTTCAGGCCTCTCCAGCATCCCTTGACTACGTGCAGGTCTTTCGTTAAATTTCTATTTTTAGGTTTTCATATATATCGATGAACATGGCAATACAGAAGTTAACATTAACAATCTATTGCAATTTTACATAATTTTTTGTTGTTATTTTATCATTTTTTTATTTTTATAATAATTTTTAAGATAAAAAAAAAAAAGATTTGTGAACATTAATTTTCTTCATATAATTATTTCTTCTTATCTCCAGATAAAAGCCAACCTTGACTTTATAGACTTAAGGTTTGTAGTAGATCTTCAGAATGCAGCATTTGAATGCGTGCTGAACACAACTGCAGAAAAGAGTAAACGTCTTCACAAGTTGGTTTTTTTTGCAGCAGAAACATGTGATCAAAACATTTCATCCCCATTAAAAATTATTTATCCGGAATTGAGATCATTTGAATTTGCTGTATGCACAAAGGTGAGAAATTTACTAAAAGTCTTGAGTTGCAATTTTTTTTTTTATGTTTATCATTCACCCTTTTTTTGTGGCGCTCTCCTTTATTCTTTTGTGTCTTACTTGTGGCAGCCATAAATTGGCTAAAGTAATCGTATTTTATCTAGAATCTTGGATGAAAAAAAAATGTGCAGAGCTCATTCAAATTTGTAAATACAACATTTGTGTTTCTGATTGCGTTGGTTGATGAGGTTCCTTCTGTAAAGTTCTTTAACATCACTTACAAAATAATCAGCTTTAATTTGACAGGGGTTTAGGAAGGGGAGATAAGTGTGGGCTCTCAAAAAGGATTTAGTCCTAATGAGGGAAACCAATGGCCGGTGGTCCACATGACACCTGCTAAAAAGTTAAATCATTTAGGGAATTGGATAAATGTTTTTTTTCTAAATGTACAAATTTTGAATTATTATCTGTATTACAGCCTTTGAAAATTAATAGTGGCATTGTAAAATTGTCTTCTGCATAAAAGTATTTTTTTATTTGGCTCAACTTATTTCAGTGTGCAAACTTTCTATTCTACCCATTTCAGCAAGTTCTTTGATTCCAGATTATGGAAAACTAATGGAAAAACTATTTGAAGCTACGAAAATCTTACTGAATATTTTTTTAAGTAATTAACTTAATGCTAACGGCTTATCACTATCTGCACTAGTAACTAGTTATCAGTTGTTATCTGCACTAGTACTACTAGTAGCTAGTTATCAGTTGTTACCTACACATAGTAACAAGTTATCAGTTGCTACCTACACAAAGTAACAAGTTAACAGTTGTTACCTACACATAGTAATAAGTTATCAATTGTTACCTACACATAGAAACAAGTTATCAGTTGTTAACTGTTACTTTTCATCTCACCATAATAATTTTTAATTTTGTAAATATGTGTTTAATTATGGCCCAGAACCATACATGCCAACCTGTACGGTTTACCCCAAACTTTGTACAGCTTTTATTCATTTGCAGAGGTGTATGCCACACAGGATTTTTGTATGGTTTTTTCATGAATTTAGAAAAGAAATATTTTTGCACAAGACATTCAAAACTGGCGGTTGCAATAAATTAAACCTTTAAACAACACGAAGCTTAAATCTCACTGGCCATCTAAATTAAGAAACTGGGCCTGGTTTCATTGATATCATTCTTTAATACTAATGCAGCATAATACGGTAGTAACTAATTTGAGTAGTGAACCATAATCACAAATCCATTTGTGCAATTCATTACAAGCATTGTGGTGCTAGTAAGTACTCTTTAAATTTCTCTTAAATAATTAAATGTGTTTAATATTACTATCAAAGACTAGTATTAGTCATTATTCCTATTTATTACTAAGGTTTTGCTTATTCAACATGTTATTGCTTTCAAAGGCTAAAAGCGGGTGTGATCATTTCATTGTATACTTATTCAGAGCTGAAGTAGGTGAGAATGGTAGGCCATATTACATTATATTATTTTTTCTCCAGCTGAAAACTTCCTATTAACATTATTAGATGCTATCCACATAGGGCATAAACTTTAAGAAATGTCTATCCTCGTGACATTTTCCTCCAGTACCTAATGTTGAAACAAGAGACTAAATGTTGACAGTAATCTGAACTTGATAAATTTGATAAAACTGACGTGACAATATATTATTTCATTCATTTAAATATAAGAATCTGTATTACTACAGCTAGCATAATTAACCAAAGAACTATGTCTTATTATATGATCCTGAAGTGTCAAAGTGTCCTCGTTTTATAGCCATTTTCATTGTTTCTATAGTATAGTAGTTACTATCCCAGTGTCTCATTTGTATTTACTTAGTTTACATGTTTTAATAATTGTAAAGCGCTTAGAGCTTTATGATAAGCGCTATATAAAAATGCCTAAATAAATAAATAAATATAAATTGTTATCAAACTTGCTATTGAACAGTGTAAAAATACTCAAAATTTGACAAAAGTTGGTTAAAAAACCAGCTATTTTCATTTTTTTTAAATCCGATTCACTCATTTATGAATGATCTAACATGCTTTAAAAAATGTGTGTGCATCAAAAGGAAGATAATTCATTTTTTTTTTAATTCATGCATTCAAAACTTAGGGGGAAAAATAATGAAAAATTGATAAATTATAACTTTTCCGAGTTTTCATTTCTGTCTGTACAATTTTTTCAGGCTGTTATACAGATTTTTGGGGAAATTTTTGTGAATTTTTTTTACCCCACAGGTTGGCATATTTGGTGGAGCCCCAGATTCCTAGACAATGATCATGCCCAAAAAAGTTACCCACCCCTGGCGCAGTTTCATGTGATTAAAATTTAACGGGGCGGGTTCTTGAATTTAATGGAATTCTCAAAATTGTCTGGCATGCTGGCCCTTTTTCTTTAATGATTATATCCCTTATATTAACCTAAACCTTCATATATTTGGATGAGAGATTATCTTTCTTTCCTCAGGTGGCTTATTTAAGACTTGAGCCTCACCGGCTGTTAGAGTGGTTCATATTCATGCAGCTGATCGGAGCAAGCAAAGTCCTTACATTTCACAACAATCTCGACGCTGATTCGCTCCGGGTGTTTGAGTATTATGTGCGGACTGGGTTCTTGGAGTTGGTGGAATACAGGCCTCGTAGTAAAATAGGTGCATAGCAATGCTGAATTATTAACAGTTCTTTTTTTAAATTAAAAAATACGTGACAATTGCTTGAAGGGTAAAGCCTTAGTTAAGATCCTTAGTTCCCAGTTATTTTAGTCCTGAGTGTAACTTCATCACCGCTGGAATCAACATAACATTTTTCTGTTACAGCGGCTCTCAACCTGTGGGTCGTGACTCTTTTGGGGGTAGAACGACCATTACACAGGGGGTGCCTAAGATCATCGGAAAACACATATTTATGAAGTAGCAACAAAAATAATTTAATTGGGGGGTGGGGGGTGTCACAACACATGATGAACTGTATTTAAGAGTCCTGGCATTTGGAAGGTTGAGAACCACTGGCCTATTACATTATAAAGGAAGGTGTCGAAGTGCAATGATTAATTTAACAATATATAAACAAAAATTTTTATTTCTTCAGGAGGCCCCGATGTGAAATTCACCGAGACAAATGGACAGACACGCCAGGCTCGCCAGGATAAAACCCTTGTTGTTCGAGATTGTCAGTATCGACTGGGTGGTTACAATTTTGTCATGACCATAGACTTTGATGAGCTGCCTGTACCTATACGGCCCTTTGCGTCTGTGAATTGGATCGTGCAGGTTTGTACATTCTCAAATTTCATTCTGCCTGTAGGCATTCTTTATATTTTGATACTGATCATGTTCTTTGTCACACATTTTGCCAGCTGGATAAATTGGTAGCTTACACCGATATTTTAACTAATGATTCCACACACAAACACATTCTTCCCACTCTTCTCACGGCTCTCACATGCTCTCTCTCCTTCAACTTCCCCTTGTTGGCCACTGAAGCCCCATTTATTTTAACTTAACTTATTAAATGGAGCTAATGAACACTTTTTTAATATTTCACTACAATGAACTTCTGATATAAAAACATTTCTCTCTTATATGATATAAAAACATTTCCCTTTCATATGATATTCAAACATTTTCCTCTCATATTATATAAAAACATTTCATTGTCATGTGATAAAAAAGCATTTCTCTCATATGATATTAAAACATTTCCCTCTCATATGATAAAAGAAAACTTGTCATAGAACAGATCAAAATAATTTTCTATCTCTTAGAACCTTCTGATGAATCACAGTGACGCCAGTGCCTTTAGGATGGACCCTATACTTCTACCGCCAGAGTGGTCAAACCCCAAACCGGGCCTCTACCACTGGCAGTTCACATCCGGCACACATATTGAGCCGTACTGTAGAAAGTGGATCTATTTCCCCAAACGTACATGGCTGGCTGCTACCCATGAAAGCATACCAAAGGAGGGTTATAAAACGTAAGGGTGTCTTCTTGTGTGCTCACTTTGATGCAGAGTTGTAATCAGAAATTTAAATGGACTTAGTGGACTTATAATTTTTTTTTAAAATAATATTCTTCAGCTTCTCAAATTATTATTATTATTATTTTTTTTGGGACAATCTTGCACATTGGTACTGGAATAGGATTTGATATGCAAAAATGGTATCGATTCTAAGGCCAAATATGTCTAACTTAAGATTATACATTGGTAGCTGTGGGTTGGTGAAGTATTTTCTCTAGTGTTATCTAGATCAGTCTCTTAAAAACAGTCAGCCCTAATTTTCACGTTTATATGGCGGCAGACCTATTGTAAAAGGGTAAGAGTGTCCGCCTCACAACTTAAGTGATAGTGGGTTTGATTTTGTCTGGATTCATCCCTGACCTTGAGCTAATATCCAAATTGAATGGACTCATCGGTCCAATACATTTGTAAATACTTCCGGGAAAATTTTGTAAATATTACAATCTAACCTCCTTTGGATATTTATTATTTTTCATACACACTTCAATGACAATGGCTTCATATTTTTTTTAAAAAACAACAAAACCCATGTTTTGTTTTGTAATTTTCATTCAGGTACACCATGCCAGAGTCTGTGCTGCACTTTCTCCATTTCCGAACCTGCAAACCTGACTGGCTGGATGTCGGCTGTGACAACTTGACCCTAAGCATAAAAAATGAACGTGTCCTTGACAGGTTTTCTGGGACCATGCTACAGAAATTACGTAAGATGCCTCTTGAAGATTTAATACCCGATAAAAGGTATGTAGAGCAGATCAGAAAACCCCCAAGGAACCAAGCAGAGGCAAGAAAGACGTCTGATGATTCAATAGAGAGTATTCTCAATTAAAACAGAACAAGATTGAAATTATGATGTGGGCCTGGTGCTTCTCTGCAGATAAATTCTCTGACATGACCTATGGCAGTTGAATCAGCTAACATTATAAAGGCAGTGATTTGATGAACAAAACTCATACCCATAGGGTACAACAACACTGTTGAAAAATGGAAGAAGCCAAAATGATATTGGCCTGGCAGGAATGGGTCACAACAACGGGATACATCAATGTGGAAATTTAAGTGTGGCAAAAAAAAAAGTGCAAAATAAATTGAGCCAGTGTTTTGTTAAGGAGTTACTTCATTTTGGTAAAAAAACACAACAAAAAATAAACATGACGGGGAGCAGAGACCCAGACCCTATGGGAGAAACCCTTCCGTCAGATCTGTGACCAGCTTTGTCAAGATGAATTCACAGGCAGTGTTCTGTGATGCTGTATTGATCAGAGATCTGACAGTTGCATGAAGCACATGGAACAAAAAAAGACGTCCGCTGCAACACAACTCCACTAATGTTGTGATTGTTATGTTAAAGTTAAAATTTCACCTCGTTTGGTTCCTACCGGTACTGAAAATATATTTTAAATTAAACTGTGCAGTTATCAGCAAAACATTTTTTTATTTATTTAGAGCTTTATTCAAAATTGTACTCATGCAGTGATTTGTACAATTTTGAGTGCCAGAGTGGTCTAATCTGAGTCAATCTCAACCTTATGGTCTGGAGTTCAATCCCCACCAAAGACCCAGCCTAGCAAAAATATCACTTGCACCCTGGGTGGATGGGACCCCATAACCTTGGATGGCAAGTGAAGGAAACTCTGAATTCGAACCCAGAGATGGAGTTCATTAGGCGGATAACATTGACACAAGAACAATTCTGACAACTCCTGCGGCGCTATTGGTGCCAAGCTGTAGCTTCCACATATGATGTTCCCTTGGGTTATCCAGGTGCTGGAGGGAGGCAATTTGTCGTCTTAGGAACCATCTTATAATCTAAAAGAAAAATCCAGTCAACACCATCGTCACATTGTGACGGACTGATGCCAGAAAGAAAAAAAAATGCATTTTTAATGTTGAATACGTTGGAAGTTTAGTTTTTTTGAGATCATAACTCACCACGTCAAAAACTTGATATTCACCTCCTTCGTTGAATCACATTGCTGCCCAGGTCTCTGACATGGCACCAAGTCTTGCCTCACCAAGATGTATAATGTTAGCTGTGTTCGTAAATGTTTTAAAAAACATTTTTACCATATATAAGCTATAAGAGCAGTGTTCTGCACTGTCAATGTGTAATCTTTTATGCACAAGTGTTATGTTATAGGATATTTTTAATCGCCCTAACTAATTATACAGCATATCTTTATTGACTTTAAATCCATGTATGTCTTAAATATTTCATATTTTCCTTATTAGTGAAGTCAGTCATTAAAGTAATTTCATTTTGCTTTGACATAACTTCCACACTTTTTTCATCACTTAAATTTAAAATGAATACGCAGCTTAATTGTTTCAAAATTTTTACATTTTATTTCCTGTTTAATTCAACCTATTTTAAAGTGATAAAGTCAATATTTTGACTTAATGACAATAAAATAATGCTCAAAGCTACGCCAATAATATATCATAGAAACTGCCTTTTTACAGTTTCTATTTAATGTAAGAGAAAGATCACGTCGACAATAAATGTATTCATGCAGTATACGGAAATTTGTACAAAAGAAATTGGCTTGAAGGGAATTTGTTCAAATAGAAGTTGTTTCAACAGAAATTTGTTCAAAAAGAAATTCGTTGAGTGGAGATTAATTTTTGTAATGCTTTTTAATGGAAGATGAGAGTGAGAAATGGGGTAAATGTAAACTTTTAAATAAAATTTACCTGCTTAAGGTTTTTCCCATTATTTCATTTGGAACAAGATTCTGTTCGAACACACTTCTGTCAAACAGTTTTCCTTCGTACCAATTTCCAGTGGTCTATATTTCCAGTAACTCATTTATATATGAAATGACATAACCTTATCAAAAAGCCTCTACTTAAGCCAGGGGTTCTCAACCAAGGACCCTGGGGGTGTGGGAGGCAGTGTCAGGGAAAAAAACAGAAAATTTGAATTTATTTGCATTATTGTTAGCATTTTTTATTTTGGGCCAATGTGGAAAGCATGTTTGGTGGGGGTGTGGGGAAATGTATTGAAGTTATGAGCGGGTGTGGCAGTGGGAATGAAAATAGGTTAAGAACACATGAATTAAGCCTTTCTTTAAAAGCTTGAACGAGTTATTCTAAGTTGAATTGATAAAAAATTGATACTAATACATTAACCCGAAACTGATGTTCTTCTAATGCACTAAACGTAATGACCGCATTTTAAAATCTCGAAACTGCATTGTATATTCTTATGTACCGCTTTTATTTATGAATTTATTACTTGCTTGTTTTTTTTTAAAACTTTTGTTAAAAATAATCTTTTTTTTTTTTAATGAATCTTAAAATCAAATTATAAATAACAACAAGCAAAAAAACATTTACTGGTACACTTTATAAAGTGTGACTACTGTTTGAAATGACTTTGCATTGATTTTGTTTTAAGCAGCTGATAAAACATGACCTGTTGGGCGTTGAAGTAATTTATAACATATTTTTTTTTTTTTTAAATGTGAATGTTTAAAAACTTGATTATGTATTTGATATTTTCTTCTATTTTTTAAAATGAATTGTATCTGAAGCAAATTGTAATGCACACCAATTACTTACCAAAGATTACAGATTATTTATCTGCATCCGCTTTGCATGTATTATGATATCAAAATGTGATCTCTTGTTTAATATAGGTCAAATGTTGTAAAGTTATTAGTGCCTGGTTGTATTAATAAATTTGTAGAGAAAATGGTGCAAGCTCATGCAAGGGCTGTTAAGAAATTAAGGACAGTTAGTACGCCTGTTGTTAAAAAATTATGGTCAGGTTGTATTTGGACTTGGTAATGTTGTTGAAAGTCCTTGGTAGTTTACTCTTATTACAGATCAAAAGTATTTACCTCCATTGTTTTCTTGACCACCGCCTCACGTCTATCTGGCTTTACCGACCATACACATAAAAACTTCATACGCAAGTTTGCCCGACTAAAAGTTGTCGCTACTCTGAGGCCATGTCAAAAGTGTCGTTGGGGAGACTGAACACCAACCCCCGCCCTCCTTCCAACCGATACTTTAGAAAATTGTGGCTGGCTAGTCTTCATGTCATGTTTCATCCTCAGTAAAAGCTTAAAATAAATTTTCGGTAATAATGGCTACTCTAAATGGCTTTACTTAAATCCTTAATAGTTTCTTCATCCATGGCTTCACTAATTGGGTTTTATTCTTCAAACCACCTCCCCCCACCCCCATGGTTTTTTAAACCTTTGGTAAATTTGCTACTTACACTATAGGCCTCAAAAGTACAAGTATGCATGTACATGTACACAAGTATGGGTGCACAAGTACAGGTACACATGTACAGGTTTGGTCAAGAAAACAAAAGGTCTATGAAATCTAGACTAACATTCTATAGTACCATGGTACCATGATTAGGGTGATCTCACACAATCAACTGTGCTGTGAGTTACCAATAAACTGAAACAGATCAATTTTCTTTTCATTATTATAAAAGAACAAATGCGAAGATTTTAGTTTTTGGTTCAATGTCTTATAATTTAAATACCCTCATTAAACATTTTTTCCCTTACAACTTGTAACTTTAATTTTAAAAATCGTTTACATTCTTTTGAGCTACCATATATAAATTTCTTACAGTGCTGATGAACGTTTATTTAAATTTGAATCATTAAATTAGAATAATGTTTGCCTTGCTTCCTAACGCTTATTTTACAATAATATATTTTTATATAATACGATCAACAGCATTTTTTATTTTCGACGGTGATCACTTGGCTGTTCATTTTGGGCAGTGATTTATAAACAAGTGTTCTTTCTGTTCATTTCGCGCAAGTGTTTAACTCTTGTCATTCTTAAATCATCCAGTGGTGTCTATCAACCCATAGGTCATGAAACTAAAAATAAATTATTTTAAGGTTGGCATTTGTACAGTATTAAAATACATATCCTTCTGTTATTATTATCACTGGATTTGAATATGGTCATATTGATATTAATTTGTTGTTGCTGTTGGATCTCAAAAAAAGTTGCTAGTCAAATTTAAAAAAAAATAAAAAGGGCTTAACTGGGTGCAGTTATTTTACACTGAGTTTGGGTATTTTGATAAAATACCTGGTGGGTTCAAGTGTTAGAAAAAAAGAATTAACTTTTTGCTGCCCTATGTCAAAGTGAGAGTGCATATCCTTCGTCAACCATTTGTGTCAAGAAATAACCCACTGATAGGAACAGGCAGTTGCCAGATTCCTGAATAGAGATGACTTTGTAGAAAAAATCCATGGACAGAGAAGATACTGTTGTTTATTTATGTGGAGGAAAAAAAATGACATTAAAAAATAAAATTCCTTTTTAATGCCAGGCAAAAATGTTTTGTCGGATTTCTGACATTACGCATGAAGCTCGCTGTGTGACAGAGGAACACAAACAATAATGACACTGAATAATATTGACCACCCTTAAAGAAAACAAAATCATCCTATTTACCTGAGTTCAGGCAGCCTTTTTTTCACTCAGTATTATTAATATAAAACGTGAGGGGTTTCGAAGAGGAAGCAGGATGAACCAGAAGCAGAACATATATTAGAGATGTTCAAAATATCTAACTGATCTGTTTCGACAGTGATAAGTTTGGAGAAATCACTTTTTATGCTGTACACACTTTTACATCTGAAACATACAAGGTCTCTCCCAACCCCCCACTCTCTATTTCATGCTTCTATTAATTTCAATTTCATATTGTTTGTGAAGGCTAAGCTTTATCAAGCATTTAGTAGTTTTTCCCGCAGTTTTTTACTTTACAGTTTGGGTCTGGCTGGCTCATGACCAGATGTAATAGTGTAGTAATGTTTCAAGTGCGTTTAAGACACTAGTGAACGTGTAAAGATGACTCAAGAGTTAAAAATCTTTCAAAATAGTTATGTACTGGTACATAGAACATAGATTAATACAAAATCAAAAGATTTGGGTGGGCGCTTTGATGTTTTTATTTCTTGGTTAAAAGCGATTTAAAGAGGGGGGAAAAGTTTTTTTAAAAATCCCTCAAATTCAAAGTTTAGCTATAATATATTTTCATGATTACAGTTTATCTCTTAAAGCTTTTTCAATGACTCTTTAAGGTTTGGCAGCCCTGACAAAGATCCACTGATTAGTAAGATGTAGTGTATTTTTATACCCCATCAGCCAGCTACAGTGAGCTCAAATTTCTTTCTTTAGTGTATATGTTATACTGTAAGTTCATTGTCATGATTAATGTTGTTTGTAAAGACTTAAGATGTTCAGGCTTTTATACTCGCCTGTTAATGTTTTCTTAATGGCTTGATGGTAACATGTCTAATTTACTTAATAAGGTTACGAACGATGATTTGACTTATCCGCACTTGTGTGGACGTTTTTTTTCTTCTTTCGATTTGAACAGGAAATTATTTCTTTGTATCAGAATGCTTCCCATCTTATCTTACTGACTCTGTCAACCTTTTTCTCTTATAATTCTTTGCCACTACACATCCGGAATATACCAACCACCCAGGCCTTCAAAACTGCACTCAAAACACATTTCTTTAAATTATACTACCCTGACTGATTCCCCTCCTCTGACCGATAAACCATCTTGCTGGCTGCCGTCCATGGTTTGCTTTGTAAAAGTTATGGGGTGAACGAATTGTTCTTGGTAAGAGCATTGTTCCGCCTTGCATATCATTGATTTGGAAATAAACTTCACCCCATGGTTTTTGTGTGTTTAAAAGAAATTAAATAATATAATTAATTATATCTTTTAAAGAAATGATTTCTAAACATATAATAATTGTTGTAGCATTTTTATTGTAGAAATGTTAAGCTAAAATTTTATTTCCAATGAATCTCATATTTAACTATGTCATATTGGAAGTATCTTTACAATAAATTTTTACATTCTCCTAATATTGAAACTTTTGTATAAACAGATTGCTTATTAAAATAGTTGTTTTTACTTTATTAAGAGTATATCCTCTTGAAAAATATATAAATATCATTGACAGCTATGGAAGGTCAGTTATTTCAGATGCACCAGTAACAGTTTATTTTTAATTTTTAACGAGCTTTAAAAGAGTTTTGCATTTCCTTTGTGCCAGTTGTACTTTCTTTATTTCAGGAAAGGTATTTTAAAATTAAAATCCATCATATCATCTTCTCAGTTTTACGTTTACTTTTTTGTGTGTATTTTAAAGTCTAAATTATATTGACTTTTTTTACAATAACTACA